TCAGTTATTTCTATTAAATTATTATTGTGTAAATAGTACATGTTACCTTGCACAAAAGACATTTGTTCCCTTGATTTAATAGTTAGTTATCGCGTGATCAATGTTCAAAAACTCCTGTCGTGTTACTATCTGAATTCCTTTCCAGTGTTTTTGGAAACTAAAAAAAGGATATGAATAAAAAAAATAAAAATTTTAATTAAAAAATTGGCCACCTCTTAGATGATCGTAGAATATTTAATGGTTTTATATGAAGCGTTTTATTGTATCCTGACTTCAATTTACTTCCAACACACGACCAGATCGGGATTCGAGTCCTGGGCCCGTATCCATGAAACCATTTCATGCTTAATCATGGTTTTTGTGTTCAAACCAACTTTCTTATTACTTGCATACATCATGTCAAACGACCAAAAGTAAAAAAATAAACATTGTAATCAGTATTCAGCTTTAAGTCTCTTCGAAAGCTTTCAAAATCATTGACGAAATATATATTTTTATATAAATTAATAACCAGAACATGATATTAAGATTGAACACAAAATCTACATATGAATAATCGGCAAGTAACAACGAAAACCACTTATACTCTCACTGTCATCATTCGTAGCGTTGAACTTTTTGCGAAAACAGCTTTTGTTCTCATTAACTGAAACTTGAAAACATAAATGATGCATTGATTATCAAAAATGACCAAAACAACAAGAATTTAATATGTTATTGCAATATAATAATAGTTATAGATTCCTCTTTGTTCCTACCTGTGACATTATGTGAAATTAAAACAATATTATATTTCATTAAAAAAAAAAATAGTTGGAAAACTGGAAAAAGGTATCCCTGCTTAGTGTGGTTGTTCTGGTAACCAAAGTAATAACGAAACATGATTTCGTCATGATATTCTGTTTTTTTTTCAAGTCTTTTTGTAATCAAAGAAGGTCGCCCTATATCTGGTGTGCTGTCAATCTAGCCCCCGATAGGCTGAGTTATTTTCATTTTTCTCTACTAAATGACCGCAGCGTTAGACTTCAAATTTAAGGTTACTTAAAAAGTCTTATTTTTTTTTAATATAATGACTTTTTATCTCCTCGTCACAATTATAAGGTGCGCCAGGGTTGAGGAGCCCTGGATTCCCTCCTTGTACAAAAACAGGCCCTCATAAGAGGCATTTTTTTTTTATTCTTTCACTCATTATATTTGCTATGAGAAAATGGGTGATTTTTATCAAAATTTCAAAATTTCCAAAACCATGTAACCCAGTGGAGGAATCTCGTCTGCCTGTATCCATCCTCTTTTGTAAAGTCTTTCACATCATAGTTAATTTATATGGCAGAACGTGAAACACCCCAACTGGATGCACTGTATCATTTTCAATTAATTCAGATTTAACACTAGTATGGCTTCATTCTTTCATTCATCTTTCATTGTTGTCAAATAGTTGCAGATATTTTCTTTTCAGTCACTGAAGTTTTGTATCTATAAACCCGTGTTTATATGCATTTTTTGTGTTCTCATTAAGAATCAAATACATTCTTTAATGACTCCCAGATATAGGAATACTTATTTGAACTTTTTAATATTGAAATGTTCATATTTAAAAACTGTTTTATATTGTTGACAGTGTATTGATTATTTACAACAACATCATTTTCAAATTTCAATTTATTTCTTGATTTCCAAATATACCATTTCGTTGTAAGTATCATTATATTGATAACTAGGTTTACATTTATGTTTAGGTTATAGCATCCGAACATTACATCTGTTTCAGAAAGTTTATGAACTAGTTGTGAAGGAAATATACTGTTTATAGCTTTGTGTTTATATGGTATAATTAATTTCCATATTCCTTTAGTGAAGTTACATCTATAAAACAAATGTTTTTGTGTCTCGAGGTCGACATGCCAGAAGTTACATTTACCATCTGAAAGTCCCATCTTCATTAGCTTAAAACTAGTTGAAACTATGTTATGAAGACATTTCCATTGGAAGTCTCTACATTTTCTGTCAGCAATAGATTGGTTTACTATTTTCCATATGTTTTCCCAATTAAAAAATTCATTTTCATAAAGTGTTCCCACTTTTGTTTAGCATTTGGTTGGTATTCTTTATCTAGTATTATCTCCATCACTACTTTATTTTTGAAGTTAGGTATAGATCATTTAATTCTAGAAAATTCAGATATCCAATTTTCTTTTTGATGTAGTTTTAGTAGTAGTGCTACTGATGAAATAAAGTTATTGTTAGCTTCATCCCACATGTCTTTTATTTTAAAAATGTCTGATTTCATCCAGTTCTTAAAAAATGATGGGTTCCTTTTAAAAATAATGCTATTATTACCAAATATCATTTGGTTTTCTATTTCTACTTTTCATATGCCTTTGATAGGCTCTTTAATACATATTGCCAATCATATAGCTGTGACTTATAGAAATCTGGTATTCTACTTAAATCTAGTGATTTTGTGCTGTTACATTTGCACAAGAAAAAAATCATACCAATATGGTAACTTGACCGCCATTTTGAATTTCAACTGAGCTAATGGTGTTCAACTCTGTAAAGTGACCAGTGCATAGTTTTTCCGTTTCTGTGTTGTAGAAATAAATGACATTGACCTTCATTCAGGGCTAGTAAGGTCAAACATGTTAAAAGCCTCAAACAACACCTTCACTCCAACCATAAATCCTAGGGTCATGCTTTTTTGAGCAGTAGGAAGATGGGATTGATGACTATTAAAATCGTTTAGATAAAGGACTTCGACCGTTTTTCAAGGTCACAAGGATCAAATTTGTTGAAATACTTCAAACACCTTCTTATGAAGAACCATAAGTGCTATCAAGATCACAGATTGAATGCATTGGTTTCATATTTAGCCAGAAGATAGTATAACTGAAGGGCTATAATTGCTGTTCGATGACATTTACGTCATTTCGTGGTCACAGGTTGAAACAGGTTAATAAATTAGGACGTTTTTTATTCAAAAAACATCCAGCTTTGGGTTTATTTTGAATTCAATATTCCGTAATAATTGTATAACCGATAGTCTATAATGGACAGGACTGATAACGACTTTCTTTATTTCCTGGCGAATACTTACTGTTCAAGCTGTTTATACTGTGTATGTTCGCCATGCCCAAACATATTTTTGTCGCTTATTCCTATGTTCACGATAATTTAATTCTCCGCAAAAGGATTTATATAATCCATTCACAAAAATGTGTCATCATGCAGTTATTGCGGGTTTCCATGCGATAAGTACATTCAGTACATCGCATATGCGTATTGTATTGCACCAAACGGATTTCCTAAACTATTAAAACATGAGTCGATACTGATGCAATTTCAAAGAAAATTCACAAAAATTGCGACGGTACAGAAACATAATCGATTGTTTTTGAGCACATTCCAATCAATGATCAATATTGGACAGTTGACCGCTATGCAAGACATTTTTTTTATCAACACATGGCAAAAGTGATCAAGGACGTTCAGTATATTGATATTTAACAATACCCAAGAGGGTAAAGGAAAAGAAGCTCCAAAAAGTGGGCATATCAAGTAAATCATCAAAAGAAGTCTTTTATGTCAGAACAAATGAATGATTAAAGCGACATCAGGATGGAGCATACAAAAATCGAGCGAGTCTCCTTATGGAAAATGACAGTCGGATTTCGCTAATATATATTCATAAAATGTATTATTAAGGGAATCCCCTTATAATTAAGGGAGACCACTAATTTATACGGTACTTTTTTCACCATTCTGATAACGCATGCGCACAACACACCATTTTATTGTAAACAAAATGGCTTGCTGTTGAAGTGTCAGTGAGTGCCCTAGCAAGGGGAACGCTTTACGTATTCTTCTGAATAGCAAGTAGGAAGTTGAATAATCGAGCACAATGATGTTTATGATATGAAAAAAATATTTAAAATCATTTACATGGTGAGTATGTTTGCGGTTAGTAAATTTGATGGAACCCAAGTTTTATCTTGATTATGCAGATACATATACAAGAAGTCAGAATTGAAATGTCTTTTTTGGAGCATATTTACATGTAGATGATCAACTATACAACTTATTGCCGATTGTTTTGTTAAGGCACATAAGGGGTGGAGTTTTGGAACATCAGTGTAGAGGGCGTTGAAATCACACGTGCGGTCCAGCTAAGGTTATAGCGTTAGCTTAATAAGTCTTTACGTCCCTGGGTTGATGATGTTGATGTAAACAATCCTCGTTCGTACCGTATTACGTCTTCCGAAGCGTGAAGTAGATAATTTGAATATAATGTTGTTACAATTATAATTATTTTTCTACATATAACAGGTTATTAAATCATGTTTCTACTCATATATCTTACTTAGTCACCATCCGTGTATGTGTTTTGGTGAAGAGGAAGTACAAGTATCGCTCACATTATACACACATTATATGAAACATCCGGAAACAAATCATATTCTGAGCGGGAACAATGCATAACCATTGTGTGATTCTCGTAAATGTTAATACGGGTCTCCACACATATATTTTTAAATGTCTAAGGTCAATGTGATGCTATAAAGCGTTTAAACAATAATATAATAAAGGTATGTTTAATATTCATCATTAGCACTATTTCAGGAAATCTCAAGCTGTGTTAGAAACTTCATATGATACGTTCACATTTATTTTCCATTTCTTGAGGTGTGTGTTTGTACGTAAGCAATCAGGGACCGTATTAACACATACGTATTGACCGATACGGTCTGTAAATCATGTTACATATACGTCTGAATTATCTTTTGGGATTGAAATACTTGAGTTTTGTGAATGGTTTACCAAAACTTTATACTAAAACTTATCACACACTTCATTTTACAACCACGGACCAAAAAAGACATTTGCCGAATTGATATAATGGTACGAGAATGTTTTTAAAAAAAAATTGGTTTCGTTTCATTTCAGCTGGTTAGAAATCTACATTAAACAGCAATCTGTGTTGAAACCCATTCTAAACTGCAAAAATGTCAAGTAAAGAGCAGAATAAAGTTAATATCACAGAATCAACAATGAAAAGGAATTGGACGACGCTGCTGAAGATAGACATCAATGATATTCTTGGCAAGATGATTGAACAAGATCTCATATCTATTGAAAAAAGCAGAGAATTGAGAGAAATAGGAACAAAAACTCGCCAAACAGAAGCTCTCCTTTATCAAGTGATTGAAAAACCACAACCTTACCTGGATGCTTTTATCAAGATACTGGACGTAAAAGGATACGACTTTATAGCCCAAAAACTTCGAAAAGGTAAATTTTTGGGAATAGAAAGATTAAACAATTTTTCGGGGTTAAATATATTGAGATTTGATACGCATTTACCATCGAAACGAACATAAACCGATAATTTTCTTATATGACATTTTTTTCAACTAACTGCATTTTACGAATTGGTATGTAATACAATATTTGTAATTAAAAACAATATGTGTACAAATTATTTGCACTATAAAATATCTAAAATATAATCTAATTTAAAAGCTTGGATCAATGCAGGTTGCAACATTATCTATTATTCTTCAATACAGATGCAGTCAAAGAAGCGTCCGAGGTAAGTTACTATAAATATACTTAATATGATTTGTTATTAAATGCGATAAGAAGATGCCAATGATAATTCACATTTGACTTATTTATCATTTCGTTTATTTTCATATAGTACTTGTAAAATTGATCATTGAAGTTTCATAACGACTTTTGTATTACTCATGTTACTTTTATATTTTCCTGTATTTATTTATGGACCTAACCAGGTAACATATCGGGACCATTCTGACACTCTTCAACAAGAAAAAGAAACATTTTCTGAAAGTGCAATGCAACAATCAGAAATGGAGGAAAAACTGGTTCAGAGAGCCATGAAGCGTATTGAAAAGAATCAGTCACAGTTCACAGAAGAACAGATGCAGACATTAATGATGCAAATGGAAAAGCACCAGTTAAAGATGGCAGAAGAACAGGAGCAGGTATTAAAGGAGCAACTTGAAAAGCAAACGTTAGAGATGACAAAACATTATACGCAGATATCAAAGAAGCAAGAGGACATGAAAAAACAAATTTCTAAAATTAAGCAAAAAGATGATAATCACAAAGAATGCGAGACCAAAATAAAACAGCTGGAATCCAAAATTAGAACATTGGAGAACACATTACAACAGGAACGTGCAAAAGTGAATGATGACGTCACAAATGCTTGGGAAAAAATTGATCTGTTGGAAGAAGAGAGAGATAAATTGCAGGATGATTTAGCACAGGCAAGAAAGGATTATGTTGCAATGTTTAACGAAATGAAAAAAGACATTCTTCCCCTCAAAACCTCAAATAACAGGGTCGAAAAATGTGATAACTTCCGCAGAAACCTGAATCAGGAACACTCAGACAGATGTCAAGCTGACAGGTAAATCAAGCTCCTATTTTCTTGTATCATATTACGACAGATACAACGATATTAAAATATATAATAAAAAAGAGGAGAGAAATATTCTATAATTGATAAATATAACAATATTTGATAAATCCCTCGATATGTCAATATCCGTGTGATTAACAATCATCGCAATACTCATTATTACCAAAGTCATCGTTAAACCAAATATCAGAGGCAATCAATAATTAAGCCGTTAAAAATTAATATACTGATATCAATCAATATTGACGATGTCCTATTTGAATACATCCTCAACCCGTCGTAATCTCGTTATTTATAATACAAAATATGTTTTTTTAGAAGTTCCCCGCCATCCAGAAATCCGTAAGTAGAATTACATTATATTTCTTTGTTAAAATTAAATATTCAATTAGATATAATTCAGAGAACAGTGTGTAACGAGATCAAGGACGCTGAAGATCGTAAGGATAATCTTAATTAGCTGGTACCAACCCAAATTGTTCGAACTAACGAATATATATTGCATGGAATGATAAACTACACTCAATTGAATGTTTTGAAACTTTTAAGAATAAACTTTTAAGCATTTTATAGCCAAGAAGAGGTGTGTAGAACTTGTAGTTTTTTTTTCTTACAGATTTCTGAGGCCAACACTGTAAGTAGAGTAGTTGATCTTTGTTAATTTGTGCTTTTGATGGATTCTTTTTTACTTCAATAAGAGAAATAACACTGCATTTCACAAAAAGAGATAATTTATGAAATGTATAACGTAATCGCTAATGTGTTTTTGTCTATGTTAACACATGTTACTATAAAAAAAAAGTTCAATTTGTAAAGAGTGAATTATTGATGAACGTTGGTCCGTTGTTTTACAGAAGGGCAAAAAAGGGAGAGGGTGTGTCAAAGAAGAAGAATTGATGTTTTGGAGATCCGTCACATACCAATCTCCGGAGGAATTTACAAAAACTGATATACATTTTAATTCTTAAATTATAAGAATATTAATTCTTAAATAACATTTAACATTTGAACTATCAACTTATTTATAACTAGCTGACTTTTTTCATCAAGGGTCATGTTTTCCATTTTTATTAAATTATTATTTTTTGTTTCATTTTCTTTTTATGTAGATAAATAGTTTTGTTATTTATTACATTTTTTTTGTCAATTAATATATATTTAACATACTAGTTCACATTCTTATTTAGATTTGAAAATAACAACACGATTTACTTTCATATATCTCAACAGTACACATTAAACAAGTAAGGGACTCAGTATAAGGAAGATAACTCCACGTGAAGAGACAACGTTCAGGCAGTTTAATAACAATAATGTTTCAGTTATACACCTTAGCTTGTTATAATGAAATGATGTATCAGATGGGTTTTTTCGAGCATGGATTGTAGTTTTTCGGTTCATAAGAGATGCAGATTTTAGGTTATTGTAGATGTACCTCCTGTTTGCATAGAACTCTATGCTATTATAAGCATTTCTTTCTTTTTCTTCGGCAAGCTTCTGGACACTATCGACTGTCGAGCCATCACAATAAGGGAGGCAACTCCGAAAGATAGAGATGTATTAATGCTAGAGAGTCATAATTACTTCAAGATAGCTCTGCGAAACACGTCTATTGATTTTTGATAAAGTGTCATGCTATCGGCTGGATATTTAATTGGAATAATTATTATTCGTAGCAGTTGTGTCAATTTTGCCCTTTGTGAATTAAGTTTGTACTCACTGTTGATTGTAATTGATATATTGTAACAAAGTTTGACCGATTACATATTCAGTCCATGTAAAGTTTATTAGAACATACAAATAATGTTTTTTTTTTTATAATATAGTCATTGTAAAAGCCTTGCTGTTACAGTGTTCTCAACATTGTATATTAATTTTATGTTTTTCTAAACAAATGTCATTAGGTTGAGTTATATAATATTCTTTATATCACATGCCTTAGAAAATTTACATGTGTCATCAAATATTCATGTGTGATACCTGTATTTTATGTCACACCTTTCCTCTGGCAAACATGCCCTTGGAAGTGGTTGAGTTTGACTGCGGGTCACTTCCGGTTTGTGTGGTTATATTTAATCATTTAATGATTGTGTAAAAAACTGGAATTATTATAACTTTGAATGCTGAACTTCTTGTGTAAACAACTTTTAATTCGTTCTCATTAACTATGTGTCACTTTTGTATATATATTTTTTATATGTAAACTGTACTGTATGCACGTCTTCCAAACGGTAAATAAAGTAAATACGATGCTGTTATGATTATTATTATTTTCTATATAAGGTATATATATCCAAGTTAACGGTTACTATATCATGTTTCTGCTCATATATCTCACTAAGTCACTATCCGTGTAGACTGTGTATGCTATTTCGGTGAGGAGGAAGTACATGTATCGGTCACATATCACACACATAATATGAAACATCCGGAAACAAAACATATTTTGAGCGGGAATAACGTAGATTTCCGTTTTGTGATTCTCGTAAATGTTAATACGGGTATCCACTTATATATTTTTAAATGTCTAAGGTCAATGTTATGCCATAACGTGTTTATAACAACAAAAAATAGATCCGGCTACGATCTAATTACTGGCATTTAATTTGACGAAACATATCCCAGGTAGCCCAAGATTAAAGCAAAGGAGACGATTCAAAAGCCATTCTATTTCTCGGAGTGCTGAACTGTGTTTGTTTTACGCACTTTGTAAAGGTACGTCTAATATTTATCACAGAGAAGTTTTTACGGAAATCTTAATATGTATCAGGGACTTCATATATGGTTTGTTCATATTTGTTGACGTGTGTGTGTATATATGTAAGCAATTAGGGACTGTACATGTATTAACACATACGTATTGACCGATAAGGCCTGCGATTGTCATAATCATGTTACATATAAGTCTTAATTATCTTTTGGGATTGGAATGTTTTAGCTTATTGAACGGTTTACCAAAACTTTATACCAAAACTTTTCACACACTTTATTTTACAACCACGGTTCGGAAAAGATATTTTCAAAATTTATGTAAAGGTATGAAAATGGAGTTTTTTCAAATTGGTTTCATTTCAGCTGCTTAGAAATCGACATTACACAGCGACAACACTCTGTGTTGAAACTCATTCTTAACTTAAAAAATGTCGAGTGAAGAGCAGAAAGTAAATATCACAGAATCAACAATGAAAAGGAATTGGACGACGCTGCTGAAGATAAACGTGAAAGACATCATTGGCCAGATGATTGAACAAGATCTCATATCTATTGACCAAAGCAGAGAATGGAGAGAAATAAAAAATCACCAACCAGAAGCTCTCCTTTATGAAGTGTTTGGAAAACCACAACCCTACTTGGATGCTTTTATCGAGATACTGGACAAAAATGGACACAACTTTATAGTCTAAAAACTTCGAAAAGGTAACTGTTTGGGAATTGAAAGCTTAGTGTTTAGAAAGATTAAACATTTTTGGGGGGTTAAATATATTGAGATTTGATATAGCGCATTTACCCTCGAAACGAACATAAACCGATACTTTTCTTACATGACATCTTTTTCAACTACATGTAACTGCATTTTACGAATTGGTATGTATTACGATATTTATAATTATAAACAAGATGTGTAAAAATTATTTCCTCAATAAAATATCTAAAATACAATCTGATTTAAAAGCTTGGATCAATGCAGGTTGCAACATTATCAATTATTCTTCAATACAGATGCAGTCAAAGCAGCGTCCGAGGTAAGTAACTATAAATATACTTAATATGATTTGTTTTTAAATGCGATAAGAAAATGCCAATGATAATTCACATTTGACTTATTTATCATTTCGTTTATTTTCATATAGTACATGTAAAATTGATCATTGAAGTTTCATAACGACTATTGTATTACTCATGTTACTTTTATATTTTCTTGTATTTATTCATGGACCTAAGCAGGTAACATATCGGGACCAATCTGACACTCTTCAACAAGAAACAGAAAAATCTTCTGAAAGTAGAATGCAACAATCAGAAATGGAGGAAAAACTGGCGCAGAGAGTCATGAAGCATCAGTCACAGTTGACAGAAGAACAGACGCAGACATTAATGATGCAATTGGAAAAGCACCAGTTAGAGATGGCAGAAAAACAGACGCATGTACAAAATTTATTAAAGTAGCAATTTGAAAAGCAACACTTAGAGATTGAAGAAAATTATAGGCAGATATTAAAGGAACAATTTGAAAAGCAACATTTAGAGATGGCAAAATGTCATACGCAGATATCAAAGAAGCAAGAGGACATGGAAAAACTAATTTCTAAAATGAAGCAAAAAGTTAATAATCACAAAGAATGCGAGACCAAAATAAAACAGCTGGAATCCAGAATTAGAATATTGGAGAACACATTGCAAAAGCAACGTGCAAAAGCGAATAACGACGTCACAAATGCTGGGAAAAAAATAAATCAGTTGGAAGAAGAGAGAGATCAATTGCAGTGTGAAATAACACGGGCAAGAAAGGAATATTCTTCAATGTTGAACGAAATGAAGAAAGAAATTCTTACCCTCAAAACCTCAAATAACAGGGTCGACACATGTGATAACTGCCGCAGAAACCTAAATCAGGAACACTCGGACAACGGTCAAGCTAAAAGGTAAATCAAACTCCTATTTTTTGTATTATATTACGACAGATAAAATGACATTAGAATATATAATAAAAAAAAAGAGAAATATTCTATAATTGATAAATATAATAATATTTGATAAATCCCTCGATATGTCAATATCCGTACGATTAACAATCATCGCAATACTCATTATTACCAAAGTCATCGTTAAACCAAATATCAGAGGCAATCAATAATTAAGCCGTTAAAAATTAATATACTGATATCAATCATTATTGACGATGTCCTATTTGAATACATCCTCAACCCGTCGTAATCTCTTTATTTTTAATACAAAATATGTTTTTTTAGAAGTTCCCCGCCATCCAGAAATCTGTAAGTAGAATTACATTATATTTCTTTGTTAAAATTAAATATTCAATTAGATATAATTCGGAGAACAGTGTGTAACGAGATCAAGGACGCTGAAGATCGTAAGGATAATCTTAATTAGCTGGTACCAACCCAAATTGTTCGAACTAACGAATATGTATTGCATGGAATGATAAACTACACTCAATTGAATGTTTTGAAACTTTTAAGAATAAACTTTTAAGCATTTTATAGCCAAGAAGAGGTGTGTAGAACTTGTAGATTTTTTTTCTTACAGATTTCTGACTCCCATGCCAACACGGTAAGTAGAGTAGTTGATCTTTGTTAATTTGTGCTTTTGATGGATTCTTTTTTACTTCAATAAGAGAAATAACACTGCATTTCACAAAAAGAGATAATTTATGAAATGTATAACGTAATCGCTAATGTGTTTTTGTCTATGTTAACACATGTTACTATAAAAAAAAGTTCAATTTGTAAAGAGTGAATTATTGATGAACGATGGTCCGTTGTTTTACAGAAGGGCAAAAAAGGGAGAGGGTGTGCCAAAGAAGAAGAATTGATGTTTTGGAGATCCGTCACATACCAATCTCCGGAGGAATTTACAAAAACTGATATACATTTTAATTCTTAATTATAAGAATATTAATTCTTAAATAACATTTAACATTTGAACTATCAACTTATTTATAACTAGCTGACTTTTTTCACCAAGGGTCATGTTTTCCATTTTTATTAAATTATTATTTTTTGTTTCATTTTCTTTTTATGTAGATAAATAGTTTTGTTATTTATTACATTTTTTTGTCAATTAATATATATTTAACATACTAGTTCACATTCTTATTTAGATTTGAAAATAACAACACGGTTTACTTTCATATATCTCAACAGTACACATTAAAC